ATATTTCAGAGGAGGAATGCAGAACTCTGCATGCAGCCCGGGGCCAGCGGGAAGTCCTGCTGACTCCGGGCTGCACGTGGTATGCCAGCATTGAAATGTACAAGAGTCCCCAGCGCATTTCAAAGCGGAAGTGCTCCAGCTAAATCATTTCAGACAGGCCTTTGTCATGCCTGGCCTTAAAAACCTTTAGGGATGGAAATTTAACGATTCTACTAATTATAAACAGCAAAACCATCCAAAAATAAAATGTAGAGACATGTTTGCACAGAAGCTGTATTTAATTCCATTAGACTTTGAGTTTCTCTATTGACTCAAAACATAATCTAGGTTTATCAGCCGTTCTCCATTGTTTATGACTTGTTCAAGTGAATCTGGAAAGATGGGTGTTTTCTCAGTTGCTTTGTGGTAAGGGATTCCCCTTACATTTTTCCTTACCTGCATGATTAATTACTCAGTTGGGTTGTTCTCCTATTCCTCCGCCCCTTCTCCCCCATGCCTTCAGCTGTATGCTCCACCACATAGATATACTTAAATGATGAGGTCCACCATGTATCCCATGGTTCCGGTTTCCTTGACAATACACATCTTGTAATCACCTGTAGGTCACATTTCTTTGCACTTTGATGTGTTAACCAGATTTACATTAAGATACGATATATTGCATATTTAATATCCATATGATAGATGAATTTTATCATGTACTTGCCTGCACTTTGCCCGCTAATTGATCTTCCTAGCATCCAAATGCTCCAGACTTTTGAGGAACTTCAGAAAGGCACAGTTTTTTTTATTGAAATAAAATATCAAAGACATATTTCTTCCACCTGTGGAATTCTTCCCTCCCCCCCCAAATCTCTGCTGCAAATAAAACTGCATTTCTGTGAGAACTAAGATGGCAAAATTCAATCCTGTACCAGTGATGGATTTAAAAACTGTGGTGTCTGTAGCATAGGGATGTTAAGAAATGAGTAATTTGTTAATTGTGTACTACATGATTAGTCAATAAGGGGTAGTATTGCTACCACTCAATCCCGGCTTCTCTGGGTCCGACATTAACCCCCATGTTGGTTCTGCACTATAAGCAATTGTAGGGCAGAGCCACAGCTGGGGTTGATGCTGGGTCCTGGCACAATCTGGGACTGAGCCAACCTGCCTGCACACCGGTTCAAAAATTTATTGGAGGAGATGAGTGTTGCATGTAGTGGATAATGTTAACCAATAAGTACCTGCTTATTGGTTAATCTTTTAGTCGAGTGCACCATTACACCCTATTGTAGTGCTTGAGACAGGAGATACCCATTTTAATATGATAGGGCTGCAAGATATTACATTTTTGCCTAATATAGTGAGTGGAAATGGGGTAGGTTTAGAAGTTAAAATAAAAAAACCAACAAGTTAAAATTACTTAGAAAAGTTACATGTCTACAAGTCATCAGGATCCGATGAAATGCATCCTAGAATACTGAGCTGACTGAAGAGGTATCTAAGCCTTTAGCTATCCTCTGTGAAAAATCATACATGGCAAGAGAGATTCTGGAAGACTGGAGGGCAGATATAGTGCCCATCTATAAAAAAGGAAATAAAACCCAGGAAGCTACAGACTAGTCAGTTTAATGTCTGTGCCAGGGAAGATAACAGAGCAAGTAATTATGGAAATCATTGGAAAGGAAATCATGCAAAGTTCTGGATGATAATAAGGTGATAGGTAATAGCCAGCATGCGTTTGTAAAGAACAAATCATGTCAAACCAATCCAATAGCTTTCTTTGATAAGATAACAAGTCTTGTGGATAAGGGAGAAGTGGTGGATGTGGTATAGCTAGATTTTAGTAAAGCATTTGATACGGTCTTCTTTGACCTTCTTATCTATCAATTAGGGAAATATAACCTACGCGGTGCTACTGTGAAGTGAATGCATAACTGGCTGGATAATGTGAAATAAGAACAACCCAGGAAACTACCGACCAGTTAGTTTAACTTCTGTGCCAGGGAAGATAATGGAGCAAGTAATTAAGGAAATCATCTGTAAACACTTGGAAGGTGGCAAGCTGATAGGGAATAGCCAGCATGGATTTGTAAAGAACAAATCATGTCAAATCAATGTGATAGCTTTCTTTGATAGGATAATGTGTCTTGTTGATAAGGGAGAAGCGGTGGATACCTAGACTTTAGTAAGGCGTTTGATACGGTCTCGCATGATATGCTAATCAATAAACTAGGCAAATATAACTTAGATGGGGCTACTATAAGATGGATGCATAACTGGCTGGATAACTGTACTCAGAGTAGTTTTTAATGGTTCGCAATCCTGCTGGAAAGGTATAACAAGTGGGATTCCGCAGAGGTCTGTTTTGGGACCGTCTCTCTTTAATATCTTCATCAACGATTTAGATATTGACATAGAAAGTACACTTATTAAGTTTGCAGATGATACCAAGCTGGGAGGGGTTGCGACTGCTCTGAAGGATAGGGTCATAATTCAGAACGATCTGGACAAACTGAAGAAATGGTCTGAGGTAAATAGGATGAAGTTTAATAAGGACAAATGCAAAGTACTCCACTTAGGAAGGAACAATCTATTTCACACACCCAGAACAGGAAGTGACTGTCTAGAAAGGAGTACTGGAGAAAGATCTAGGAGTTATAGTGGACCACAAGCTAAATATGAGTCAACAGTGTGATGCTGTTTCATAAAAAGCAAACATGATTCTGGGATGCATTAACAGGCGTGTTGTGAGCAAGACATGAGAAGTCATTCTTCCGCTCTACTCTGCACTGATTAGGCCTCACTTGGAGTATTGTGTCCAATTCTGGGCACCACATTTCAAGAATGATGTGGAGAAATTGGAGAAGGTCCAGAGAAGAGGAACCAGAATGATTAAAGGTCTAGAAAACATGACTTATGAAGGAAGACTGAAAGAATTGAGCCAGTTTAGTTTTGAAAATTGAAGACTGAAATGGGACATGATAGCAGCTTTCAAGTACCTAAAAGGGTCTTACAAGGAGGAGTGAGAAAAATTGTTACCCTTGGCCTCTGATAGTAGGACAAGAAGCAATGGGCTTAAATTGCAGCAAGGGAGGTTTAGGTTGGACTTTAAGAAAAACTTCCTAACTGTCAGAGTGGTTAAACGCTGGAATAAATTGACTAGGGAAGTTGTAGAATCTCCATCAGTTATTTCAGAGCAGGTTGAATAGACATCGATCAGGGATGGTCTAGATGGTGCTAGGTCCTGCCATGAGGGCAAAGGACTGGACTTGATGACTTCTCAAGGTCTCTTCTAGTTCTGGTATTCTGCAATTCTATGATTTTAAAACTATTTAAACATTAAAAAACCGAGCTTTTCTAAATTTTCTGTGTCTCTTTGAGGTTTTCTGCTGTTGAGGACTTTTACATGGATAAGGCTAAATCCAGGCTAAATCCAGCCCACCAAGCTTCTGCAGTTGAGGACTTTCACATGGGTAAGGCTAAATCCAGGCTAAATCCAGCCCACCAAGCTGAAGGATCTGGCCTCTGGCCCAGCAGGAACCATGTCCCGTTCTCTGCCTGTCCTGCTCTGGCATGTGGCTCACAGCAGGCAGTGGGAGGGAGCAGGGGTCCTGCGCATCTCTGAGCACTGCAAGCTAGAGGGAACCCACTTTGTGCAATGCCCCACCCCTCTCACTCTAACCCCTACACTCTCTCAGATCCTGCACCCTAATCCTCTGTCCTAGATCACAACCCAAATTCCTGCACCCACTCCTGCCCTAGGTCACAACTTCCTGCCAAACCATGCATACCCTCTTGCTTCCTTCCTCCAGGTGAGAGTCTTCCTGCAGCCCTATACCTTCCCAGACCCTGCGCCCCAATACCCTGCTCCAAGTCACAAGCCCTCCTGCCCTAGGTCACAACCCAAACTTCTGCATCCCTGCCCGCACCCCCTACATTCCTTCCTACAGGTCAAGATCCTCTCCTGCACTCATACCCCAGACTCTGCACCCCAATCCTCCACTCCAGACCACAACTCCTTGTTTACTCTAACTCCCTCCACATCCCATTCTTCCTCCTGCAATCCAGTACCGTATCATGGAAAAATGTGTCCCTTGACCACTGACCAAATCGTTAGAGTGCCACCGCCCCATGAAAAATTGCCTACCCCTGTGGTAAGTGATGCTCCTGCCTTTTTCAGGTGGATGGATTTCTTTTTTTTTTGTAGAAAAAATAATCCCAATTATAATTTTAAAATCTTTCTAAAAATCAGTAAAATAGTCTTTAAAATATATCACACAAATACAAAATATGTGTTGGTAGGTTGTTGGATGAGGGTTTTAATGGAAATAATTTTGTATGACATCCAGAACTTACATGTGGGTTTGCCACTCATGGATAATTGACACACTTTAAACTTGCACTGATAAAAACCTTTACGCCAATGTTATTCAGTATAAGCTCGCAATAATCATGGAGTTAACAAGATACATACTAGTGTTTATCTTTCCATCTCTTTTGTTTTTTTATGTCCTATTTTCTATCCTTTGTTTGTACATTGTGAGTTCAGATTGCAGTCTCTTGACTATGAAATGCCTCACAATTTTGATGGTGTGTGAATAATAAATGAAAATACTGCCTGCATGTATTCCTTTGAAACTCATAATTTTTTGCTTTGTTTTGATGCAAAATCAGAGTTTTGAGTTCCAACTAAAACATCAATTTCCATATGTTATGCACATAATTTCTATTGCAGGACATTTGTAGCTTTTGGTTAAAACACTATACAGTACTTGGCACATCAGTGGGTAAAAACACTGTTGTAATAAAAATTTAGAAACATGAATAATCATAAAAATAGTTTGCATTCTCGGTTTTCAGGTTCAAAATCAGCATATGGAACATAATCAACTGCTAGTTCATCTGAATTGTAATGAATGGTTGTGTTAATATTTCCCAAGAACTTCTGTGTTTTTAATATTTGATTCTTAAAATTCTTTTATGATCACTTTCTTTTCTACTTCTGTTATTTTTAGGGACGTTTACTAGCTGCCTTTGCAATTTTGGGATAGAAACTGACAGTAGAAAATATGCTGGAAGTAATAGGTGAGATTTATGTTGTCACTATGCATTTGTGGCTAAATTAGGTTTATATTGTAGATCTTAAGATATTACTGTATCAGATAGTTGAAGTACATTGTGTCAGACATTGCTACTATACATAGAAATGTTTGACATATTTGGATTTTTGTGTTCATGTATTTTGAAGTGCAAGCACTTTCTAAGTTATGTATGTTATTCATGATGAGCTGTCTATTAGCATTGTCTGTTTCAGTTTTATTTTTTTAATGTAATAATTGAGTTTGTTGGGGAATTTTTTTGTGAAAATTAAAACACCATCTCTGTTTAATGGTGTTTTGTGTTAATAAAGATTGATCGAAAGCTCAGTAGCTGTGATTCTTACACCTGAGTTTGCACAAACAACTTAGACAATACTTTTTCACGGAAATTTTCCAATTCTTCATGGATACATGCAACTCCTGTTGGTTTCTGTTCTTTCACTGATGTCCATCAGGATTGCCCCTATGTAACTGAGGGCAGAAATTGGTCTTTCTTAAATTTATTTTTTAACGTTCAATATTTTTCACTTAATTTTAACATTTATAAAATATCACCCATCTCTTAATTGTAGCTGACAGGAAAATGTTGTTTGTATAAGCAAGGAATCCAATGGCACTTTAAGGACTACAAATTTTATTATAGCATAAGCTTAGTGAGTTGCAATTCACTTTATCAGGTGCATGAAGTGAAAGAAATTTGTATTGTCTTTGCTAGCTGTATGTGACTTTTTATAAGGTTCTACTGACTATTAATGAATATCGCTGCAGATACACATCGGGCCCTGCAGGCAGTGGAGCGCCTGCATATGAAACTACGGGAACGAGGTGACATAGCAAATGAGGAGAAGTTGAGTTTGCTAAAATCAGTGCTGCAAAGCCCTCTCTTCAGTCAGATCCTGAATCTTCAGACTTCAGTCCACCAGTTGAAAGATCAGGTAGGACAGTAGTATCTTGGGGAGAAGAGAAAAGATAAAGTGTTGTAAAGACCTGTTCATCTGATTGCTGCTTATGATAAATTAATGAAATGCATGTTGAACACTATAATTAAATAAGTAAAATTGAAGGGTGGATCCAAAGCCCATTAAAATCAGTGGGAAGATACCCATTTACTTCAATAAACTTTTGGTTCAAGTCCTGAAGTTCATGTATATGTTTAGATTTTTCTAGGTGTTTGCATGTAGCTTATTGCTGTGTACTGTAGGAAAATGATGATAACACATGGAAAATTGTCAGAAGGCTGACTACAAAGACTCACAAAAGAAGAAATAGGATACCGTCACAATGAATTATTATAGAATTAGGGACAGATCCTCAGCTGCTATGGAGCATTGACTTCTAAGGAACAATCCCAATTTATTTTAGATGAGAATTTAGGGCTTTATATCCATTGTTTGGCATGCACTCCTGAGCATTTATGAAACTTGTAGGCAAGAAAATGTGGATTTGTAAATAAAAGTACATCCTCAGATTTGATAGTCCCTCCTATTTTGACTTCATATTGAATGATTACTTTGGGGCCAGATCCTGCTTCCCTTTTGGTACAAGCACCTGGAAAGGAAAAGTTTAGTTCTGTAGATCTGTGAACGTGATCCTTTTGTGTTATACTCCATCTTTTTCCCTACTGGAGATATGGACTGTGGTATAGATCTCTTGTGGAAGTTTGAGATCCATAAGCACCATCGGGCCTTTTATTTATAAAGAAGAAAGACATTTCTTTTATGTTGGTTGGTTTAGGTGGTTTTTTTTGTTTGTTTGGGGTTTTTTTTGGTCAAGTGAGCTTGAGTATAAAATTAGTTCAATAAATAACAGGACTCAATTATGCATCTGTATCTGCATCCAGCCAACCCACTGACTTGTGGGTGTTGGATGCAGAAATCCCACATCTCTCTTCAGGTTAGCCTGCACATAAAAGGCAGTAGGAGGAAGTAGTCCCTGTGTTCTGAACTTCAGCTGTGACTGGTCCTTGCTTAGAGAGTGAAACTAGTAAAATATCCCTGGCCCTTTTATATGGCAGCCAGGCACCCACGTGGTCCTTGGTTTCCTTTAGTTTATGGAATTAAACTTAATGCTATTTGATATGGACAACAAATACTTTTGTTAAGTATTTACAACCTATTTTAATGTGAGTTTTACTCTTCGTGTGTTTGATTCAAACTAGTTGCCTGCGAGAAGTATTACAATAATTATTATTATTAATAATAATAGCTTACAAAAATCAGTCTGTTAAAACTCTGAAGTGAACATAATGCACAATTAGTGAATGAAGATTTAACGCTGAATTAAAAATATTGCACAGAATGAGTTACATGGTTGCGGTCTGTGGGAGCATACCATTTGAAATTAGAATATGACAGAAAGCATTTAATTTGTTGAAAAATTAATGGCATTTATATTACTGTGTGTAGAGGAGGGAGATAAATGGGATTTTTCTCTATTTAAATGATTTTACTAATTTAGGTGACTGGAGTATTTCTCAAATCTGTTGCACAAATACACTTCGAGCAAGACAACTTTTTAAAAGTGAAAAAGGTTTGTCTATGAACATATGCGTGCAATTTCACAGCAGTATTCAGACATGATGGTGCTTGGAAATTGGGTGATATCAATATGGTTTGGGTGTCCACTGAACTATCTGCATGTAAATTTACCTGATCTGCTTGCACCAACCAGCATGAGCAATAACGTATTGCAAATCGAGGTGTGCAACAGTGCATGCATCTCTTTTTAAAAATGCATCTCTTTGGGTCTCTGTAAAGATCATTCCTTCACTACAGTTTAATAATAGGACCTATCTGAGGTTGCTAAGTTTTCTTTTTTAAACACTTCCAAGTAATTCAACTGAAAATTATTTTTAAAAAGAAAAAATTATGAAGCTCCGTTAAAGAAAAGCATAATGAAATTTCCAAAGAATTTCCTAGGTTTCAGTTTTGTTCAAGGATATCTTATTTTCTTTCTATGTCTTGTGCAAATGTTGTGCTTTTGAAGAGATTGACTAAAGTTACTTTTTAGTGTAATTGATGGGCAAGGCAAGAGGTGTTCTAGAGTAAGGAAAGAAATGAAGCATATCTTTGTTTAAGCTCTTGACTCTTGTTGAGGAAAGACATTGTACAGTAAAACTCCAATAGTCCGGCACTCCTGATAGTCCGGCATCAAAATGGCAAGAGCCTAGTGAGTGAGCTTCGGCAAAAAATGAGTCACAAGGTAACAGCAGCAGCAGCTGAACTGAGCAAAAAGGGTAAAAAAGGCTTAAAAAAACTAAAAGATTACAGTATACTGTATACAGTATGTACAATAAAAAGGGCTAGGAACACTTTATATACAGTATATAATGTATACAGTATATATATATAACCAGTTTATAGTACCTCCTGATAGTCCGGCATATCTGATAATCCAGCACCACCTCGGTCCCATAGGCTCCGGATTATCGGAAGTCTACTGTATGATGGTTTTGTGCACAGTAGATGAACATGTAAAATTATTTTCACTTGAATTTAAACAGATTTGAGCAATGCTCTCTAACGCCTGAAAACAAGAGAGCAGGTGCATTAATCTGTCCACTGCTTAATGCTGTTTAAGGATTATTTTACATGATTGCCCATCCTGTACTATGTGCTTCTTGAATATTCACGAGAATGTAAGAGGAGAGAGACAGCAGACATTGAGTTAGGGAAAGGGGAACAATGATGCCAATTTTATATAGCAGTCCCATTGTTTCACTTTAAGCAACACTGCAGAAGTGGGTCTTTAAGAAGGACTTTCATGAGGCTCCTGTCTAGTGCCCTGACTTCATCCTTGAACTCAGGAAGGCTGTACCATGTATAGGTCTGTGTGGGGAAGAGATGGGAATGATTATGTGAGAAGCTTAACTCTTTGTTGTGTTATATTTCTTAAAAATATCTTAGATAAATATTTAAAATGTGCTAGTAAGCCCCCAGAAGGTCAGGTAAACATACAGTTCTAACAAACAAATACTTGCCCTGTAATTAAGAGGTTGTTGTCACCTCCAGAAAACTATTAGAGTCCCTATTTTTGATCACGGAGAGTGAATCGATGTCAAAAGCACCAAACCCTGAGCTGTAAGAGCCATTCACTTACATTCATTTCATTCCCTTGCGTTTCCTCTGGTCTCTTGAGGCTTTTATGCTTGCTGTCACCTTTCCAGTCTTCTTATTGTGTTAATTGAAAATTGATCCCTTTCATCAGAAATGGGTTTACCTGAGGCCTCTAGGATTTGAATGTTTTCTAAATCATTTGGTTTTGGTCTGCTGGCTTGTTTATTTTGTGTTGATACTGTGCGCTGCCTTTTTAGTGTGTTGCTTAGATGCCTTATAAATACTTTTAATTAAAATAAACTATATTGGTTAGTTTTAGATTTTTTTTACAATGCAGAATTAGAAGATGGATTAGGAAAAATACCTTTTTCCTGTTAAGAAAAAAGCATGAATTCAATTCAGATCTTAATGACAGCATGCCTTCACCACCACTCATTTGCATATAAGTGTGCTGAAGAAACCAGAATGTTCCTCTTCTCTACTCCCCCCCCACGCTCTCCTTTTACTGAAGTTTTGTTTTCTGCTACAGAGCAAGTTCACGTTTGAAGATAAGGGAGTTAGAGAAAAAGAACCAAAAATTCTGCCTTGTGGTATTTTGAACGTCTAAAGTTTTAAATAATTTGATTTAATTTTTCACCATGTACAAATATTGTAAACATATTCATCACCCAGTAATGGCAATCCTCTCTTCTCCTTTCTGTCTTTCACTGTATGCTGTTCTCCCACCCCCTCCATCTTAAGAGCTCAAGGCACTGCTAATGAGAAAAATCCCTTCCTTGGCTGGACTACATTCTTCAGATTTTTCTCCCTTGGAACTATGACCATAGATCTTACATAATCAGGAGTGGAAAAATAACCCCTGCAATGCAGACATATGCTAGCTTGCCCGTAATAGTCAGGTGCTCAGTGCTGTAAAGACCATACAGCAAAGAAGTTAAACATAGGTACTGTGAAACTATACACTTTTTTTTTTTGCCTGTTAAGTCGTGCTGAGCAAGTGAAATTCCTGCAAAACATTACACATAAGAAGTATTGTTAAAAGTCATGTGCTGAGCAAGTGAAATTCCTGCAAAACATTACACATAAGAAGTATACTGTGTTGTTGCCTTTCAACTTCAGTAGTGACTGTTTGCCCTGGAAATGGTCATGTGATCCAAAATATTTTTCATGCTAATAACACCTAATTTACTATGATTTACCTACAAATTCTCCATGTGACTAAAAGGGAGGAATGAGTGGCAGGAAAAGTCCACATAGCTCTTTTGGAACTCTGCTAACTGGGGTCAAAATAGGAATTACAGGTATGCAGATCTGGCATTGAAGTTTAAGGCTGCAATGTAGGTAATGCAGCTAGCCTCCAATGAAGAATATGTCATTTTTAGGAAGCTGGGACAGGTGGTGTTTGGGTTTGGAGGTCAGTCCTAAGGACTGTGTGTGCGTGTGCATGCGCACGTGCGCGTGCACATGTGCCTACTAGAAAAAAGAGAACTTTGCATTAGCCTTCCATTTCAAGTGTTTCAGGTTCATGCACCCTGGGGAACCTTTGTTCAGTTGGGGGGCACTTACCCACAAAAAATCAGTTGTGGGTCACACTCAAGTGAGAAGCATAAAAAGATTCACCTCGCTCTCACTCAGCTCAGGGCACCGGGGCTCCACTTGTGCTCCAGCCCCATGGGAAAGCTTGGAGACTTGATATAGGGCTAGAGTGTGCGGCCCGTTTACTCTGTGTGGGGAGGCCCTGAGCTTCACTGCAGGCTGAATCAAAGTAATCTGGTGGCTGGATCTGGGCTATAAATTCCCCACTCACGTTTTGTGATTATTATGCATGTTTACAACCTTTTTGATTATTTTAGAGGACAGATTAACTATTGTATTGAAGTCACCATTTCTCAAGATCACACAGACAACTGCTCAGACTGACACACACAAACACTGAAGTTTTAAACAACTAATTTTGAGAGACCTAAAACTGCTAATTTTTTTTTTAATGGTGATTAACCGAGACATGTCTTGGATAGTGTTTTTTTACTATTATTTAAAACATTTTGAACAATCAAATAAAAGTAGTGTTTGATTGCATTGAGAGTCTAACTATGAAACTAACACAATTTTTATCACACTGTGTGGTATTAGTGAATTTTCTTTGTGTAATGCCAAATTACGTCAGTACTGCAGATGTTACATACAGTAAAGGAAAGCCAATCAAGGCAAATTAGCATAAACCAAATTATAGAACAAAGTAATATTCCTTCTTACAGTACTTACGTAATCACAGGGCTATAAAGCTACTTCATAATGGAGTCCTAATTGTTTTATTACTATCAAGCAGTACAATTTATATGTTGTGAAAAATATTTCTTATAACCACAAAAGCATTATTTTTGTAGGACATTTATTTGTGGCTTAATGTCATCTGGCAACTACCTCTATCTGTGTGATTAGGAGTAGTGTTCACCAGTGGTTCTCAGTCTTTTCCATACTGTCACCCTGATTAAAACAAAGAAACAAACAAAAAAACAAGATGCCCTTCCTATTATCCATCAAGAAAGGGAGTGTGGTTATGATCTTCCTTGTTTTCATTTCCCCGGCTGTTTCATCTCATGGAAAGAACTCATGGCATGTACCCAGGGACAACTACCAAGCAAGATGGCTTTGTGTAGTATAAATACTTAATGAGAGAGAGAGAGAAAGAGTGATGTTCATTCTGAATATATCTGAAAAACTTGACTCTTTCAACACCCCCCTTCCCTGAAAGAGGAGTCAGAAGCCACTTTTGGTCTGACACAGTCTTCTCATATTAAGCTAACCCCCATTGAACATTCAACTCAGTTTCTATAATTATCTTTAAAAATAAAGATGATTAAAGTCGAGTGTCATATCAATTACAGTAGGAGAGTTCATATGCAATAACGCATTGTAGCTGTGCTGCAGTCAGTGTTTTACTGAAAGATTGTTTTAAGAAAATAAGTGTTCCTGCTATTATAGATGTAAGAGTATCTGTGATTTCAGTGTTTTCTTGTAGTGTATGCAGGGAGCATTTCAGTATTGTAAATTCATACATAAGAGAAACTCTTCTCGCCCTGTGCTTTTCATTTTTGGAGATAGTGAGTGATTTTTTGCCCTTTGAGCTCCTTGGTCTCGCAGTAAGTAAGTGATTTATTCAAGAATAGAGAGGAGAAAGTATACCATGATCATATAGAAATATTGCTCTTCTTAAAAAAGGTCAAATTGAAGGAATCACTGTGGTTCAGTCCAGCTGGGAAGCTGGTACATCTAACTCCTCCATCTGCAGATATGGAAAGTTCTAGATGCAGCACAGGCATTGCTCTTTGTGGGGAGATAGACTGCAGAGAGCCTGTTAAGATGCAATCCTCGCCCCATTTGAGATTGAGAGCAATTGTTGAGAGTGGCAGTTTTTCCTAAAGAGCATTTCAGGGACCAGGGGCAAGGCCAGTAGGTCTGTGACTATGGAGATTAGCTGGTCACGGGTGCCAATAAAGGAGCATAGTAGTTGTGTGGTTGCAGCCAGTGGTGCTGGTACTCTGTTACGAAGGCAGAATACTATCCTTCCTCATCTGTTTGGTGATTGTCTGTGTAAGACACGTCTGTTTTTTTCACATGGTTCCAAATCTTGTCTCTTTGTTAGTATTTTTTTCAGACTTTCTGTAATTTTCCTGTTTCATCTTGGAGGATCATTGTACAAATCCCATCAAAGAGGGTGCTTTGAGAACTACACAGACTACTGAAGCTTCTGTGGAGTGTGAAGGAAAGGGAAAAAAGGAGACACTAAAGACAGCATTTCTCTTACTCTGTACACACAGGGAAAAATTTCCCCTAGGAGGGAGAGGCCCTGCCAACATGTGTATAAGAGCGACCTGGGCATTTTGATATTAAGTGAAAAATAGTACAAGTACTTGTGGATACAAGTGCAAGTCTAAGGATAAGATATTTCACACACTTCTTCTATTTGATTATTTTCATAAGTAAAATACATACATTTCTATAAACAGTTATACGTGGGTCCTGTTGGGGTTTACAGGATTGGGTCCATGCACATCTAAAACTTTTTGGGTATGATTCTCATTTACACTAAAGTTGCTTCTCACTGCTCTCACAGGGTAAAAGGGTTGTAATGTGGAAGTGAATTATTACACCTGCTCTAAGTATGCTTTACATGATTAGGTCTGTGTAAAATGGCCTTATTTTAAATGGGAATCAGCCCTTTAAAATGTATTGTTAAGAAATATGACTGTTACTGACATTTGAAGATGGAGCGTACAGAGAGGGATATAGATATTTATTATGATTACTAATCTACAAACTGTCAATAATTTTAAACCTCTTTTTCTATACATAATTATGGGTCTTAAGAAAGGTAAATATCTGACGTGAGGGTGCAGGGATTAAGTAAAATATAGACTAAAAATTGTTCTTGTAAATATTTGCATGTGCAATTTTGTTCCATCAAAAAGAGGTTATTTGAAAATTTAGCCTTGTCTACTCCTAGGCAAAATGTTTCCTTAGCAATTATAGATTTGTGGCATTATAATATGTATGCAGTTATAGACAAGAGTATATTATATGTTAATATGTATTGATATAGTCCAGCTTCATGGGGGAAATCTATTATTGGCTTACAGATATGGAGCTCATGTCCCCTGAAAGCATCTGAGGACATAGTTTGGACCTATGGATAGAACAGTAATTGAACAATAATTGATATTTGAAACTTTGATAATTTTAAAGATAAAGATGGAAAAATGCAGACTTTTGTTTGACCTTTCTTCCCCTGTGGCATTATAGGACAGAATTTGGATACAATGGATGCTGGTGTAAACAGCAAATAAGTCCATAATTATTAGTCACAGTGCAGGAGGAAGAGCAGGCATTCCAGAACTTCTGAGAGTCAACAGGCAAGAGTGGGGAACACACAGTCTTGACTTCCTGCCTCCAAAGCACTAGTTACACAGCTGTACTTGTGTGTAAGAAAAGGCAGTCTGCTAGTGGCCAAGGGGAAGGACTGTGATCCTCAGAGTTAGCTTATTCTTTGGTCTGTTCAGGGGCAGCACAATGCACAATCTCTTTTTTCAGGGCAGATTGTAAAAAACGATGGTTGAAAGATATTCAGAGTAGGGCTAGGGGCTTTAGATGCGTCATCTATTAGTTTTAAATTAAACCCTTGATCTGTCTGAGAGGTTAATAGAGAGTGACAATCGTACCATATGGTGACACAAAAGACTAGACCCATGAACTCTGTGAGACCTTTAATTCCATCATCGTTGGGGAGGTTTCTCTCTTCCCAAAGATAAATCCAGATTTTTTTTTAAGAGGGTTAAGTTGGTTTTAAAAAGACTCTCTGGTATAGTGACGGCAGCTCTGTTCAAATTTGTCCTGAATTACAGTGTTAGAACAGTTCTGGTTATTTATACTAAAAGGAACAAATAACAAATTATATAGGGTACAGATGATGCCTGCAAACTGTTTCAATGCCTTTTTAATAATACATTCCCATGGTTCACAACTTGATATCTGTTAAAATTCTGAGTGTGTGAGGAAAAAGTTTTCCCATTAAAATCATCGTTGTGTTATTTTTGTTGGTGCAAGAAGATCTGTTAATCATGCCGTGGTTTATCTGTAGTGATCATTCTGCCACATAGTAAGTCTAAAATGCTATAATATTGTGAATAATCTTCAGGTGAACGTCACACCATCCATACATTCGGCTGGTGAATTTCCACAGCTTCCCCATCATGGTGCTGGTGTGGATTCGTTGCAACATAACGAATCCTATTTACTCGCTCAGCAGAATGGCAGCCCTGCTAATGTACTAGAAGCATCTGTGAGATCTCAGATTAATGGGAAATCCTCAAGTGATGAGTTGGAGCAACTAATCAGAAATATGTCACAGGTAAGACAACATGTTACATTTTTCATTGACACATTTAATGACATATGGTAACCACAAATAGTGAATCATCACAATTGCTGAAAGAATCCACAATATTTTTTATATTCTTCTACATAAAAAGAAGTGAATTACAGTATTTAAAAACTAATAACCCTCCCCCCTTTAAACTGGGCTTTTTTTTCTACTGTATGAAACAAAATATTTCTAGCCTTTTGTTTTAGAAACACTTGAAGATTTATGAAACGTGGATTTTTTTTTCTACAAAATAGCACTGGTGCTGTGCTGTTTATCATTTATCCCATGGTTAACTACATTTCATTTATTGCAGCAATATTCTTCATAGCATATCTGCACTCTGGTATTTCTCTCAGCATATTTGAGTAACTGCCATTCTGTATATGAAGGAGAGTGTATTATTATAGTCTGCATCAGTTATATGGCTTTATTAGATGAATTTTGCTGTTATCGGAAGTGTGGAACACTTAATATTTGCCTGTTGAAAGGTGGTGGGGAATTGCAGGGTTAATAAAGTGTACAATAGAATTAGGCCACATCTAGACTACAGAGAAAAGATTGATGCTGCAGCAGTCGATCTTCTGGCATTCGATTTAGTGGCGCTAGTAAAGACCAGCTAAATCAAACACTGAGGACATCCCCATTGACACCAGAACTTCTACTCCTTATGACAATGATTCTCAAACATTTTTTGGCCCGTGGCCCACCTGGCTCAATGCACGACAATGATTCTCAAACTTTTTTTGGCCCATGGCCCACCTGGCTCAATGCAAACCTTTCCGCAAACCACCAGTTGTTAATAGAAACTCGCCGTTAATTACATAATTACAGCCAAGCCATTTTGCTAGGGCTGCAGCTTAGGAGAATGGTTTAATTTAAATTGTTAAACAGATTAGTAATAGAAATGTAGCCGTGTTAGTCTGGTGTAGCTGAAGCAAAATGCAGGACTATTTTCTTCCACTATTTGATCTGAGGAAGTGGGTTTGGCCCACGAAAGCTCATCATCTAATAAACCATCTTGTTAGTCTTTAAAGTGCTACATAGTCCTGTATTTTGTTTCAGCTACACCAGACTAACACGGCTACATTTCTATTACTAATCTGTTTAACAATTTAAATTAAACCCCAACACTAACGGTTTCAATGTTTTCTTTATTTGTGACAGGGATGGGGAAACTTTTTTTTTTGGGGTCGGGGCCACTGATACACAGAAAAAATCAGTTGGGGAGCACACCAGTGAGAAGCAAAAACCTCCTCCAACCCTGGCCTCCAACTGAGACACTTCTTTCCTCTGTTGCTACAGCTCCACGGGGCAAAGAGCCAGAGAGGACTGAGGCTCAGGGCTTCCCATAGGCCAGATTTACTTTTCTGGGGTTCTGGAGTTAGTGATTTTGTGCACCTCCTTTAGTCTTTGGGGTGTGGACAAAAATAAGGGGTTTAGTGTGCAGGACAGGGCTGCCAGCATATGGGATAAGGATGGGGGTGCAGGATCTGAGCAGGAAGTGGAGTGCAGGGAAGAGCCAGAGAGGACTGAGGCTCAGGGCTTCCCATAGGCCAGATTTACTTTTCTGGGGTTCTGGAGTTAGTGATTTTGTGCACCTCCTTTAGTCTTTGGGGTGTGGACAAAAATAAGGGGTTTAGTGTGCAGGACAGGGCTGCCAGCATATGGGATAAGGATGGGGGTGCAGGATCTGAGCAGGAAGTGGAGTGCAGGGGTAGCTGAGGTTGCAAGGTCTGGGTGGATTGTAGAGTGTGGAAGCAGGGTGTCTGGTCAGGGGGGAGGTTTTACATTCATCATTTAACAGACAACATTGGGAGGAAGTTTTTCCTGATAGCCTGACTGTTCTATTTCTGAATTTCATCCCCTTATATCTGGTTATAGTCCATAATTCCCTTAAATCTGGTTATATTCCCTAATTATTCTTCATCCTTCAAATATTTATAGACATTTAATGTTTCCCTTTAGTCACCACTCAACTAAGCTACATGTATCTAGCTTTTCAGTCTTTTTCTCCAGGCTATAACAACTTTGTTGCTTTTCCCTGAAACAGTCTCTCAATTTCTGTATGGTCTAGAGATACCACAACTGGATGCTGCATTCCATGGTTTTGCTGTATGTTATATAAGTTATTCATTTATTGTCATTTGCGAAGTCTGCTCTACTTGCAAGAAACTGTTTAAATGGTTAATGCTGCTTTTGAGTATATTTAACATTTGTATATTTTTGTTTGTTTTGCTGGAACAGGGTCACCTTGTTGAGACCTTAGAGCTGGCTAAACCCCCAAGTGGAGGTCTGGGCTTTAGTGTTGTGGGGCTGAAGAGTGAAAACAGGGGGGAATTGGGAATATTTGTGCAGGAGATCCAAGAAGGAAGTGTGGCATATAGGTGAGAGCATTGGTACTGAATATTATAATATAACTTAGTTATTGGTGTCATTGTTTGTGCTTTTCATTATTCATAACGCATTCTGTCTTACTCTGGAGCCCAAGACATTTAAAGTTTGTTTTTAAATTGGGATTTAAGATTTACAATCATAAATGTACTCCTAATATCATTATTGCAGTTGATTAGAGTTAAGTATAATTACTGTTCTAGGATTTTTAAAATCTATTCTGCCAGATGAAGCAGTTGATTCTGATCTCCATACCCTGACACAGATCTTGTTTAGGTTACTGGGAATATTTCATGTCTTTGAAGATAGAATAGCCCCTCAGTTCTTAAAAAATGTTTTTAAAAATGTATGTTTGAGTCAGCTGGTTTTGGCCAAGAATCTGGCACCCTTATTTTAAGTAGTAGTAGTAGTAGTATCCCCCCGGAGTTACCAGTGCCCTTTGCAGAGTAAGGTACTATAGAGCATCAGTGAGGAGATGAGAATACCATTGCAAACAGTTCTTAACCTAAACTGTTACATTTCTCAAAGACAATGAATGGAAATAACCAAATATAGCCAGGCAATGTAACCTGAACGTAGCAATAGTTATTGTTTGTTGAAAATATCTTTACATCTTAATTTTGATCCTGCAAGCCAGGCTTGAGCAAATAATTTTTGGATTTAGGAGCTGCATAGGAAAACTACTGTGCTATAGACTGTTAGAAGGTATGGAAGAATTTGTCCACTGTGCTTTCCCCCTTTACCTCTAAATTATTTGTTACCCAGTGGATTTGCAGCACTGTATATGAACCCATTGGCTGTGCCTGCCTATGGTTTACCTGTCGGTGGCCATGAGAACTCCCAATGGATTTCCTTTCTGTTAGTGCAATGGCTGCAGTATTTCCCTGCATGAGATCTGCCTGCTCACCTCTTGGTGCATGTATTTAAACTGCTTTTGGTGTGGATGCAGTTGTTCAAATGCACGTAGTATACAGGCCCTAGGATTAAATTCAGCAAAATATGGTTTGCTCTTCATTGCAGCAATCTTTTCTAGACTGTTTTAAAACCTACTTTAAGACGACTTCTTTATGTTGTAAGAGATCTGTGCAGTTCTGTTCAGATAAATAAGTTGATTATGGAATTAGCTCCTTATAGATTTGTGAAAGCAAATACTGTGTCAGTTCTAGGGTCACTTTAGTGGGGTACAGAACTGTCAACTATTGTGATGTAAATTAGAGAGTCTCTAAAGCAATAAATATTAGAAACAATTCAATTCAACTGAAACACTTCAGATTCCCAGCAAAATATTCTGGATGGGGTTAGATGACATTTCTTGGTCACTTTTAAGTATTTGTTCTCCTTATCCAGCTCAAGCAACCAAAGATGTATGTGATGTGGAGAAACCAATTTTCAACTTGATGTGTGTTTCACAGAGCTTTGCCATGTATATATTTTGAAAAAGGAGTCTTTGCTTGTTTGAATCTTTCTGAAGCAATAAAGTTTAAGAGAACTCATCTGTAGATTTCATACATATTCTCTTAAAATAGGTCTGGGAAAAGGCTCAATATATGAATGTTCATCAGTACTTCCTATACTACAAAATGATGAATTGCTTTATAATTTATAGAGGTGTTTCATTTAAAAAGGATCCATTTTATCAAACCTTCTTTCCCTCTCCCTGAAAAGAAAATTGTTTTTCTAGGATCTTGATGAAAGTATGTTCCACTCCATGGTTTGATGAATATTCAGAACTTGTACACTGAACAAAGTAGAGCACTTGAATTTGGGATTGCTTAACAGACCAAGAATAAACATAAGTTCCCAGGCTATGGTTGGGAGCAACTCTGATCTAATATGCTTAGTCTCGGATGGGGGTGCAGGGAGAAGGGTAGCAGCCATGAGAGAGTGGCAGTGGGATTAGCTTCAAAGGGAACTGATCACCAAAGTGCCACAATAGCTCCTTGTAGCAAAACTGCAGGGAAAGATTATGAAGTGGGGAAAATAAAAAACAGGATAAAAATACTGGAAAATTGTCAAAATGCTGTGTCTGTGGTAACAGATTTTTGTGTGTGTTTTTTATTTATACATATGTGACAGAGATGGAAGACTGAAGGAAGCAGACCAAATCCTTGCTATTAATGGACAAGCCCTTAATCAGACAATTACACATCAACAGGCTATCAGCATCCTACAGAAGGCAAAAGATAATGTCCAACTAGTTGTGGCCAGAGGTTCCTTGCCTCAGTTGATCAGTCCTGTAGTTTCTCGATCTCCATCTGCTGCTAGCACTGTCTCTGCCCATTCTAACCCTGTAAGTATGTACCAAATGTAAGGGCAGTGTATGTTTTCAGTTTTGAGTGCATCTAGGCTTACTGTAGCCAGTACAATGTAATTCATATATTTCTCTCCCCCCTTCCACTCCTCTTTTTTCCAAAATAAGGCATTTGAGCTGTATCTTTTCCCCATAAACATTGGAACATTTCAGGAAACATTTCAGCACTGTCCATGGGGCCTTGAGACTTGAAGTTTTGATGTAACAACTTCAGAGAAAGAGCACTTCTGCTTTATCATTGCAATCCCAATTTCTAACGCTTTTTTGAAAGCAGCAGCAAATAGGAAGTCTCTCTGCAATCCACTCTTCTCCTTCTAGGGAACGGAAATTTGTTGAGCTTTACAATCTGATTTATACCATCAGCCAAGCTCATTCTCCCTGCTTTTTTCTCATTCTCTTATGGCAGAGAAGGCCAAAGGAAGCATGCAGAGGACAAGATGTGGGGAGGGAGGCACAGTCCAAATGTCTCAGATTTCAGGAGACATCCGTCATGATTACAGGGCTATAGCTGCACTTCTATCATCTTTTCTGCTTTCTGAGTCTACTTTCTCACATGTTAAGTCTGTTCCAGGAGGACATCCACAATTCTCCTGTTCTTAGACTGGGCCCTGAGCTACCGTACCCTTAATTACAACAGCTTTGTAGTTCCAACTGAATTTGAACTTTTCCTTTCAGCAGGCTGTCACCAGTGGTGCATGTTGTGACCAGACAGCCTTCTTAAAACCAAGTACTGTTTATTTTGACAATAAGAACAAAACATTTAGACAATGTTTGTTTAAAAAAAAAATCTGCCTGCATGCATGTCTTACCCAAAGCCTTTCTATCTCCTCCTCGTATCCTAATAAGGTGTAACTTTTTCAGCTGCTCTCAGTAAGAACTTCTCTCTCAATCCGGTTTGCCTAATGTTAGTTTTGAAACTTGACATGGGGCTTTTGATCGCCTCTGTGTATGGAACCGGAAGCATTTGTGGAGAAGTGGCTTATCATGAGCCTGCTTGTTTTTCCTTAATGACCACTGTTACACCAAGCCATTGTATTCATATCATAAACACTCCAATAAGCAGGTTGGACATACAACACTGAGTATCCATAAATCATTACAGAGCAGCTCCACTTCCATCAATAGGTCAAGCCCAGAAAGAACACCTGAGGCAATAAATATTTCATTCTCATTGCACAACATTACATTACCCTATTGTAGCCTAGGATCCTCTGTTTATCACTTAAGGAACAATTCTGCATGTGAATTCCACATTCACTTGACTTGAAGTGGAATGAATGATACCTGATTATTTAGATCTACACTGAAGAGGCTTTCATCCTTTTCAGTGGGTTGAAAATGTCTAATATTGTATAATGCAATCACAATGATTTATACCAGTTAAATATTAATGTTCATATATTAATTTCTTTGAATAGATGCAGATTTTCTAATCTGTGCTACTCTCATGGTGTGAAAGGCGTAGAAAGCTTGTTGAATTTTCCTTGTTGAGGTTACCTCTGACATGAAAGACTCCGCATGGAGAATGGAGTTATCATAGGCAGTCCTGCAGCTTCCTGATGTAGTGGCATAATGAGGTGGTAGAGTGGCTGGAATGAATTGTGCTTCAGTTATTTCCACTGGATCAGGAGTGAGCAAATTCCAGCTCATGGGTGGGATCTGGTCCACAAAGTTAGTCATTGGTGGGCATCCACCTCCGTGTTTACCTGTGCCTCCACAAGTATCGGAGGGCCTCAGCTCTCGTTGGCTGTGACACTTCCTGCTGGTTGCGCTGGTGGTGAATGGTGATTCATGGTCAACCAGATCTGCAATCCTCAGATACCTGCAGAGATGCAGGTAAACATAGTGGTGGTGGCCTGCCAGGCACTAACCCTGCGGGCTACCATTTTTTCATTGCCCACCTCTCCATTTGGATCATAGCGATTGTGTGCCATTTCCATGTGCTACGAGGCTGCTCTCATCTATGCTAGGGACTGAGTAGAACTGGCCCTATTAGTCTTCTTTATGGACCATAGCCTTTTCTCAGTGCTTGCATGTGACTTGTGGTGGGAGTGACTCATGCGCACTAGAGAAGTCTCTGAGTCCTGTTCCAGTGAGATGCTGAATGCTTCCCATAAGAAATTAAGCACATATATTCTTTTTTACTTGAAATTGCAGGCACTCAGCACCTCCCGAGTATTTCTAAGAATTTGATCTCTGAATAGGTCCATAGAAAGATTACACAGTGGAGAAATCTTTCTTGTTAAATGTTTATCTTGCTTTCCAGTGTACTAATAGCAATTGATATGTAGAAATATCCTTAGCCTTTCTTCCCTTCCCCTTTTCAAAAATTGCCATAGAAATACTATGAGTGTCTTGTGACAAGATATAGTCAGTTTGTTCTTTCCTTGGTCATTTGTGAGCTTATTTACAAACTTATTCCTTGTAGGTACACTGGCAGCATGTGGAGACCATTGAGTTGGTGAATGATGGATCAGGTTTGGGATTTGGGATAGTTGGAGGAAAGTCAACCGGAGTGATAGTTAAAACCATCCTCCCAGGAGGAGTAGCTGATCAGGTAAACTCCTCCTAATGATTTCTTCTATCCTGTTTAGTGTGAGATAAATATATTATGTAAAACTGCCATAAAATGTTAAGCAATACTGATTTTCTTCCTTTTAGACTGAAAGAAAAAAGATGATGCTAGTAATTTAGATGGGCACATTACCCTTACTAATGGTCCTGTATAGTATGTGGGATCAGTGGAATCTGGTCTTGAGTCACTCTTCTAAATCTATTATTTTGCACCACTACCACTGTGTGCTGATAAGTATATCATTCCTAACTCTACAATAAATAAATAAGTAATCTTTCACCGGTACATCTAATCCAATCCTACCTTGAAATGACCAAAGGTTGTCACCACCACAGTGACCTGTTTGGTGACCTCACTCCATTTCCCAGTGTGGAGGTGCCTATAACAACAACAAACACCCACAACAATAGCAAAAAAGTCCACACCACCTAGGCACCCTTGTCAGTATTATGGCAGAGAACCCAAGGATTAAATGGGCTTAGAGACAGATTGTTCCTCTCACCTGTAGAAGTAGTCTTGGTAGGTCAAGATTGAGGCACTAAGGGAATGTCTGCACTGCATTCGGAGGTGGTGTTGTGTTTTTACAGTTGGTGCAGACCTACCCAAGTTAGCTTTAATCTAGTTAGCTCAGTTACCAGTAGCAACAAAACCATGACAACATGGATTTTGTTATGGACTAGTCTGAGCTGCTGTGGAACCACTATTGGTTCTCATGCCAGCTGGATTGAAACTTAGGTACACTTGCTGCTGTTGCTTTTGCAATTGTAGTATATATATATATATACCAAATGCTGCTCTGTCTGTGGGTAGCTCATGCTGCTAATGTCCATGCTACGTGTGTTCCATGGACAAACAGATGAGTTTACTCCGTCAGTTTTTATACTTTTCCTGGGTATTAAGTTCACTTAAAACTTTTTTACAGTTTAACTAGGGGGTTTCGCACCCCTGCTCTCTGCACTCGCCAACCCCTCTGTTGCAGGTAGTAGGCAACCCTGGCGCTCTCTCCGGCCGCTGGGGAGGACCAGGGCTGCGGTAACACCCGCCAGGGCCCCTTTCCCCTCCCCCCTTCGCCAGCCAGGGCCCCTTCCCCTTCCCTGCCAGCCAGGGCCCCTCCTCTTCTGCCAGTCTGGGCCCCTGCTACCTCTCCCCTTCCCCCCAACCTGTGCCCCTTCTTTCTCCTTTCCCTCCCTCCCTCCAACCAGAGCCCCTTCTGCCAGCCCGGGTCACTTCTCCCTCTCCTCACCTGGTCCTTTCTCTCTCTTCCCACCCCCCACTGCATGGGTCCTGCTGCTGGCGCCCCAGAACAGCTGTTTTTAAAATGCTGGCAGCCACCCGCCACATGGTGACTGGTGGAGTTTCAGCCAGCTATTGTACAGTGGAGTGCAGCCTTAAACCTTGCCTCCCCTTCTCTCTCCCTTCCCCCGCAAGAGTAGCACACCAGCAGCAGCCTCCTGCGGGGGAGGAGAGAGAGGAGGAAATCCTGAGGAGCAAGCGGGGAGTGTGGGCGATGGTGGGCCCCGCGCTGCCTCAGGGCTGTAGTGTGCCGCCTGGGCCAGCCCCGGAACAGCCTCCCCCGGCAGCTGGGGAGGTGGGAGTGGGAAGGCAGCTGAGGGCAGAGGGGCAGAGGGGTAGCAGGATGAAAACTTTTCCTGCAGGATGCAGAGTGATACACAGCGTCATTTTCATCATCCCACAGGAAAAATGTTCTTGAATATATAGCAGGGAAATATAAGAAACAAGAAATACATAAATGGCCATAAAGCATTATAAATAGCTGTGATATCACAATAAGTGATGAATATGATTTGTTTTAACAACATGGTTAATCCTGAAGGACAGCTCGTAAAGAAGAGGCCCAGTATCTGTACTTACATGCTTGCGTGTGCACAAATGACAGCTCACAAAATTACTGAAATGACAGGAGCTAATCGGGATTAAAGGGTGTTCAAAGGTATTTTGAAGACACAATTCCCATCTCTGTATAAAATTTCCAAATGTGTAAGCAGTTTTCATAATTATACAGTTTTATATGCAGAAGTTGGTGCCCAAAATATTCTTCTGTACACACATAGCTGTACTTGTACCACACATGGGTGTATTTTTTTCCTCTGTCCTACCATTAATGTATGACCTGACATTTAAAAACTAGTTGCAGAGCTCTTACATTTTAAATAGATGAAAATGGCCATTTGGAAAGGAGAAAGGGGAAAGTCTGCTAGTGGTTTTTATTATGATTGTGACTAGTTGTCTGGTTACTTCCTCACCCAGCATGGAAGATTATGCAGTGGAGATCACATCCTGAAAATTGGAGATACAGACCTGGCTGGAATGAGCAGTGAACAAGTGGCACAAGTTCTGAGACAGTGTGGAAATCGAGTGAAGCTGGTCATTGCAAGAGGTCCCATAGAGGAACCACCTCTACCAGCAGTCCCTCCATCTACTCCTGTACCAACTTCCTTACCAGAGAAAAAGGTACATGAAAACAAATATCATTAAGATGTGAAAATTGTCACTTTGTACCAGTTTAATATATTTATAGCTCGGGCCAGTGTTTTGAAGACCAGTAGCCATATTTTCATTCTTTAGCTATGAAAAGTGGGATCCTGCAAGACCAGTATGCAAAGAGTTCCACTGAAGTGAATGGTAATTGTTATGGATGGAGGCCTCCCAGGATCCAGACTTGAAGACATGCATGTTTGTGTTGGAAATAATTTTTAAGCATCCAAGTTGACTAGCCCATTAACCTGGATGTGCCTATAAGTGGTGCTTTTGCGATACCTGAATGATTTGTGTGTTGCAGCATGTCCCTGAACTTTGCAACCCCTTCTGTAGAGTTGGCCAGCTCGATCAGCAGTAGGTTTCCTCTGTCTGTTTCTCTGCCTACTCCTCCCTAGGAACATCTCTTTAACGCCATATTGCCACTTCCATCTGTGAGAGAGCTCCTCACTGTGCCAGCCAACACACAGCTGTAGCTCCTTTCCTAAGTAGCCTGGCATAACTTCAGCCAAATGGCAGACAGTCAGCCAGCTGCTACCCTTAGTCTCTCTCTCTGATGTTCTTACATTCCCTCTTTCCCCCATTGCTCTGTTTCTTTCTCCCCTAGCATCTACCAATGCTTCTCCTCCATCTTTTCTTCACACATTTTCAGAATGTTAAGGGGAGGGAGAAGATTTAACATAGGAAAACATGGAAAATGCAGGCAAGGGAAAGATTATGAGTTAGTAATACAAATGTAATTTATATGTTAGGTTCACTTATTCATGTTTCCTATAATGAGAATAACCACTTTTTCAAGAAGCACACTGTAGGAGTGTCACAATTAAATTAAAAATAGGAAGGCTTAAAATCTTTTCTGTGTGTTTGTGACAATCTAATTCAATGCATTGAGTACTTACTCAAAGTAAGTATGGAAAAATCAGAACCACAATGAGCCCACATAAATAGACATGTAAATAAGTGAACGACGAGAGGGAATTGTTAAACTTTTAGGACTAAAATAGATCTTCTTCACAATCCACGATAAATTTCTCATGTCAGTTTTTTTACTATTTTTAGGAATATTTCTACTAATGTCAGTGAATTTAAAACATTTATTTAATTTAGACCACTTTGAGAAAATTCCTTTTGCCTGTTTAAAAACCAACCAACCAGCCTCCTCTTTAACTCATTTTATACCTAGGGTCATTTCACGGAGTCATGGAATAGCATAGGCATGTAACTTCACACCTCCTGTTATATTACAAGCAGGCTTCTCTTACCATGCCTATTAGGTGATCTTGAAAGTTTGAGAGGAGATTAGTACTATTTGCACAAAGCCCAAAGGATAGTGGGGAGGGAGAAGTTAGCTCTTGTTGGCAAATCAATATTGTCCCCCTTTTAAAGGAAAATTTCTCAATTCAGAGCATTTCAACAGAAGTTTATTTGCAGGAAACATCAAATGGAGGAGTGAATAACACCCTGCATATATTATTCAACTGTAAAAACAGTTATTTTAGAAAAGCAGCTGCTTTTCATCAATTTATGTATCAAAACATCTAGATTTATGTTATTCTGGCAGCTACATGCTGTGAAATGCTGGTATCTGGGTTTGTAGTCACGATGATGATATAAGCTAGCATTTGCATTACTAATGAAGGAAATAACACCAAAACCTCACCTTTTTCTTAAGCTCCCTCTTCTCATCACCTGGCGGAGGTGTGTTTGTGTTTGGGCAGCTGCTGTCCCTCTGCACAAAATCTGCCTGGTTGTAGAGGTGCAAATGTAGAAGCTCAGTTAACGATGCTAAAAGCTGCAGTAACTTAGGCATGGATGTTTACTACCAGTGGTTTGGAGAACATTGCTGATATAGCTGCCCCATGGGCATCCATCTGCTGCTTGCTTTTAAATGCAGGATGGGCCTTAACTGAATACGGCTTCATCAGAGGGGCTTCTACAGGGTATCAAAAAAGACAGGTTTGATGCCATGGGACTGGCACCCCTCTTCATGATTCTCCAGAGAAACTGGCACTTCTGGAAACTCATTCACTAATGGAAATGGAAGCAATTATTGAGCACTAAGCGGGGATTGCTGTAATTTATGTGCAGTCCGAACAGCCCTGTAATACGAAGGAGGTAGATTTAGAGCTGCAGAATTAGATGTTTTGCTTGTGCTTGACCATATTTTTGGATGGAGATATTCAGATAAAGAAATGGGACAGATCTTCAGATGGAGTGTATTGATGTAGCTCTTTCGACTTCAGTGGAGTTGTGCAATTGGATCCAAGCTGTTAATCTGGCCACTGATCATCATGGCTTGGCTTCGCGAACGAAGATCTAGGAAGGAAATCCACGTCTTCTGCAGGCACGCTGGTGGCTGACTAGGCCTATGCGGGACAGGCAGCTCCTGCCACTACGGCTGCAAATATAGGTCTGATCCGGGATAGGTGCTGATGCGTCACGGTTCTTCTTCCTTCTCCTTTTGTCCTCCGTACAGGCCCTGCCGGTATCTTCGAAGAAGGAGGTGGCCTGGTGGACTGTGTGCCGCCAAGAGTTGCGATCAGCTGCTTGTGTTGCCCACTGACGGTGATCGATACAACAAGCAGTTAGGGACTTCTTCAGAGAGTCTTTGTACCGCTTTCGTGGTGCCCCTATGTCGCGGTAGCCAGAGGACAGTTCCCCATACAGCACGATCTTGGGTAGGCGGTGGTTCTCCATCCTGGTGATGTGCCCTGCCCAGCGAAGCTGTATCTTGAGGACCATGGCCTCGATGCTGGTGACCTCCGCTAACTCGAGGACTTCAATGTTGGCGACGAAGTCACTCCAATGAATATTGAGGATTGTGCGGAGGCAGCGCTGATGGAAACGCTCGAGGAGACTCAGGTGACGATGGTACGTGACCCAGGACTCAGCGCCATACGAGAGAGTGGTCAGCACAACAGCTTTGTAAACGCTGACCTTCGTGTCTCTTTTGAGGTTACTGTTGTTCCAGACACGTTTGTATAGTCTGCCGAATGCACTGTTTGCTTTGGCCAGCCTGTTATCGACTTCTTTGTCGATCTTGGCGTTAGACGATATCATGCACCCCAAGTAGCTGAACTGGTGGACAACTTTCAGTTCTGTTTGTTCAATGAAGATGCTTGGTGGATGGTGCTCCTCGTGGGGTGCGGGCTGATGAAGGACTTCAGTCTTCTTCAGGCTGACTTCAAGACCGAAGATCTGAGCAGTTTTTGCGAAACAAGACGTAATTCGCTGCATAGCTGCCTCTGTGTGAGCAAGGATGGCGGCATCGTCAGCAAACAGCAGCTCCTTGATCAGTTTCTCCATGGTCTTTGTATGGGCCTGCAAACGCCTCAGGTTGAACACGCTCCCGTTGAGACGAAAACAGATGTATACGCCATCAGCGTCGTCAAGGTCCTCTGTGACCTGCTGGAGCATCATGCTGAACAAAATGGTGAACAGCGTGGGAGCAAGAACACAGCCCTGTTTCACGCCGTTTGCAATAGGGAAAGGCTGCGAGAGGTCGCTGCTATGTCTGACTTGTCCGAGCTGGTCTTCATGAAGCTGGATGATCATGGTGAGGAACTTCGGTGGGCAGC